ATTTTCTAAAGGTTTTCAAACAACACATTGGATTTTCAAACTCTACTTATGAACTCACCAACATTTCATATGTTGACGTTTTTCAAAATACTTGTATTCTCAGGTAACAGATAAAGTGAAGATGAATTGTACTTTCTGACGTTTTTGCTGTGGTTTAAGTAGCATCAAACAGTTATTTTCTTTGAATGTAATTTTGAACAATGTAATGAATGTAAACGTTACCGGTTGTATCATTTCCAAATGTTGGTGATGTATAATGTTATGTTTCATGTATATGCATTGTTATGGTATTCAATGAGTCACGATAGCCCCCGGACGTTTCCGCCGTCTGGTTCGGGGGTGTGACAACATATACTTGAAGCTCTTATTCAATGTAAGAGCTTGCTCTTTTGTATTTACATCTACTCTTTCATCGTTTATCTTCCCACTGAAATTGCATTAAAGATACTTTGTTTTAATATTATTGATTTGTAACCCTTTGACTTCTAATGTCCACATCTATGTTTCCAATCAATCACTCAGTCCAATCCTAGACTTAATCACCAACACAATGTGATTGGCAAAAAGAAACATAAAGGCACTTCCTCTTGTATCTCTAAAGATAACTTCTCCAAGTTCAAGAAAAAAATATACGAATGAAAGTCGAACCCTAATGAAGCCCGATTTCATCCATAAATGACATTATGTCTTCAACCAGGGTTCGGACGCAAGTCATAGCCCAACTATATATATCTCCTATGGACGCTTCTAGCTTTAAAGTCCCTCACATCGTTTCTCGTATTTTCTAGGTCGATGAACACCATATGCATATCCTTATTTTTTATTATATTTCTCTATAAGATGTCTAAGAGGCGGATAACCTATGCTCTCTCACATAGTTTCATGATATGCTAGGCAAGTATGCAACCCAACCTCCAATGCTCTCTCACATCAGGGTCAGCTCTATGTTGAGTTTTTTTTAAGCAAAGGCTTAGGGCCCCCAATTCTAAGAGACCCCACATTCTCCAAAGTCCAAAAGTTTAGTCCATCAAAAAATCTAATCCGATAACCACAAAATAAATGAAGCGGAAGAATAAATCAATGATCGTTGCATTCATTAAATTAAAATGGCATTGCATTCTTCTACCGATTTTGATTTTTGCGACATATTCATCTTCTAAGTACAGCAAAGACCAAAAGGCCCCAAATTTTTAGCTCGCTTTGAGCTCCAAAATGGTTGAGCCGTCCATATCTCACATAGTTTCATGATATGCTTAAGGAGCTTCCTACTTTTCTTCTTATAAATTGGGATCATAGTACTTTCTCACCCGTTCTCTAAGTTTGCTTTGAATCTTAGTAAAAAACCCAAACTTTTTTTTGTTAAAGTTACAATGTTATTTTCTACCAACAAATGAGAGAGCTAATCATCGTAACTTATTTTACATTGTTATTTTATATACGGGAAAAAACACCGCCAATATACCCTCCCCTACCTATTTTGAAGACCGTTTCCCTGTTTGTTGCCACACATAGACCCCTCACTTCCGACATCTCTTCTTCCAAGCGCACCAACAGGTGATCTTCCATGACGGAACTCTCGTCGTCTTCATCATCAGGTTTGATTTCTTTACGACCTTCTTCTTACTGGTTTCTTCTTTTCCGTGTGAGCTTTAAGTAATCGGGCGTTGGTCTTGCTGAACTTCAAGCAATCAACCCTTGGGTTAATTAATGTAATTAGTGGTAGTCTGCTCTTAATGCGTGATTCTACAAGATCTTACAAACGAGAAAGTCATCATTTTGGGTCATTTTATAATTAATTCGTTGAAGATTAGCTGAACATTTGATTATTTCAGCTTCAGACTGCAGAATGACATCCATACACACCCGAAATGCAACATGATAATTGATTCCTTTTGAAGAAACACCAAGTATGTTATGCGCTTCGAAAATCTCCAACTTCTCAAATAAACTAACAACATTTAGGTACTTCTCGCAAATGGGGTTTTTCAAAAATTCAAAAAGGTCACTCAAAGATGGTAATCAAACCAAAGCTTCGACGAACCAGAAGAACTCTGGTAAAGTTCTATCTCCTTTTTGCTTTTAAATCTTCACTTTTTCTAGTTTTTCTTTGATGAATTGCTTATGAGTTTCTGTAATTGGGTGAAACTAATTTAGGTTTTGAACTGGAGAACAGCATCTATGCAATTCTGACAATTAGCAGATGGGAGTCTCTAAATCAGATGAATTATAAACGGGTTTCCCTCAGGCCAATTCATGGAAACCTAGCTTTGAAATTTCTCAATTGGGTAATCAAACAACCTGCTTTTCAACAACTCAAGAATCTCACGTATGTTTACTGTATAACTGTTCATATACTAGTGAAAGCAAGAATGTATGCCTCTGCTAAATCAATTTTGACACAATTATCTGACATGGGTATCGATTCAAACTCCATTTTTGCTGCTTTGATGGACACTTACCCTCTTTGCAACTCAAATCCTGCTGTTTTCGACCTTTTGATTCGAGTTTACTTGCAAGAATCTTTGGTCAAGGATGCTTTGGTAATTTTTCATTTGATGGGGCTTCGGGGGTTTACCCCATCTGTTTTTACTTGCAACAAGATTTTAGGCTCAATGAGGAAGGACAACGAGGCATCTTGGTTATTTTTCCAGGAAATGCTTTCAAAAAACGTATGCCCAAATGTTGCAACTTTTAATATACTCTTGAATATTCTTTGTTTCAATGGGAAGATCAAGAAAGCCGAACATCTTGTTTTGAAAATGGAAGAGAGTGGTTATGTTCCAAATTTAGTTACCTACAATACTTTGCTTAATTGGTATTTCAAAAAGGGAAGATACAAGGCAGCTTTGGATTTGATTGATCACATGAGTCATAAAGGTCTTGAAGCTGATGTATGCACATATAACATGCTTATAGATAACTTATGTCAAAACGATAGGAGTGCAAAAGGATATTTATTGTTAAAAAAGATGAGAAAAAAGATGGTTTCCCCAAATGAAGTCACTTATAATACTCTCATAAAGGGGTTTATCAAAGAATCAAAAACCAAAGTTGCAGTTCATGTTTTCAATGAGATGATGAGCTTTAAGGTTTCTCCAAATGTTATAACTTATAATACTTTAATTGATGGGTATTGCAAGGAGGGTAGTTTCAAAGAAGCTATAGAATGTATATACAAAATGGAAGCAAAGGGATTAAAGCCTAATGAAGTTAGTTATGGTGTTGTTTTGGATGGATACTGCAAACTTGGAGATTTAGATTCCGCTCATAGTCTTATAGAATCCATGAAAGTCAATGAAATTCTTGTTGACAATGTTTCATATACAATGTTAATCGACGGGTTTAGCAGAAGTAAGATGCTTAAACAAGGTGTGGAAGTTCTTGATGAATTGATCCAAAATGGTGTTGATCTTGATGTTGTTACATATTCAACACTCATAAATGGATATTGTAGAGAGGGGAAGTTCAAAAATGGAAAAGAGATCATGTGTAAAATGTATAAATCCGGTGTGACACCAAACAAAGTGATGTATTCAACATTGGTTTATAATTTTTGCATCCATGGAAAAGTAAATGAAGCAATGCGAATTTATGCTATAATGAATCGAAGTGGACATGATCCGGATCTTTTCATGTGTAACAAGTTAATTGCTTCATTTTGTAAAAGTAAAAGAATGGAAGAGGGAGTGGAGTTTATGAAGCACATGGGTAGAATCGGTATTTCCCCAAACACCTCAACTTATAACTTCATCATAAACGGCTATGTAAGCATAGGAAATGGATCAAAAGCATTGACCTTTTATGAAGAAATGGTCAATATCGGTCAACGCCCAAGTTCTTATACATACGGAAGCCTACTAAGAGCACTTTGTTGTGGTGAAAATCTTGAAGAGGCATGGGAATTCTTGAACAAAATCCGGAACATTCCGGATGCTTTAGATGTTGTTTCTTACAATATGTTATTGGGGGAGATTTGTAGATCTGGAAATTTACAAGCTGCTGTCTTTTTGTTGAAAGAAATGGTTCGTAACAATGTTATTCCCGATAGTCATTCGTATACATGTCTACTTGCTAGTTTGTGTAAGAAGGGTAAAATGGTCATTTCCATTCTTCTTTCAGAAAAATGGATGCAAAAAGGAGCTCTTTTACCAAACAAGGTAACTTACACATGCTTAATTGATGGTCTTTTTAAAGCGGGCCATCCAAAAACCGCATCTTTTTACCATAAAAAGATGGTGGCAGATGGTTTTTTTGCTGACACGATTTTACTCAATGTACTTATGGATGGTTATTCAAGAATGGGAAACATGTCTATGGTTTATCGTTTATTTTCCACAATGAGAAATGAAAATTTGTCGCCTAATTTGGCTACTTATAACATTCTCTTACATGGGTATGCAAAACAAGAAGATATATCAAGGTGCTTTGAAGTATACACTACCCTTTTGAGAAAAGGTTTTTTTCCCGATAAAAGAACATGTCATGCCCTAATTTATGGCATTTGTAACGTGGGTATGCTTGATCTTGCTTCCAAAGTGTTGAAAAATATGATCTTGAAAGGTTTGATTGTCGATAAGGTCACATTTGATATGTTGATCTCTAAATGTAGTGAGAAGAAGAAGATGGTGAAAGCTTTCGAGTTTTTGGATATAATGTATTTTTTGAAAGTTATCCCGGATCAAGAAACCTTTGATATTATTCTTAAAGGAATCAAAGAAACATATGGATGTCACCCCACTCATGTTTTTATCAAAGAGATGTTGGAGAAAGGTTTTGTTCCTAGTGAAAAACAAGTTGTTCGGTTGATTACGGATATGTGTCGTGTGGGAGATGTGAAAGGGGCATTTTTGGTAAAAAATGAAATGCAAAAAAGTGTTGTATCACGGAGTGTGGTTGAGAGTGCTATGGTTCGTGGGCTTGTGAAAAAAGGAAGAGTTGAAGAAGCCCTTTTGATGTTTGATTGTATGCTTAAATCAAAACTTGTTCCAACAACCGCTACTTTTACTACTTTGATGCATTCTTTGTGCAAGAAACAAGAGTTTAAAGAGGCGTTGAAGTTGAAAAACATCATGGAATTTAATCGTGTAAGATTTGATGCGGTTACTTATAATGTTTTAATAACGGGATTTTGTAATTGTGGTGATTTGGTTGAAGGGTTGAAGTTATATAAGGAGATGAAGAAAAAAGGTATTTGTCCAATGGTGAATACGTTTTGTGTAATTGTCGAGTCTTTTTGCAATAAAGATGATTTCACGGATGGTGAAATGATTTTGATGGATTTATGTGAAAGGGGTTTGTTATGTGAAGATGAAATCACTCAAGATATGGTTAAAAGTTTTAATGTTGCTTTGATAAAGTTGAAGATGTTGAAGCACAAAAAGTACAAAACCAGTTGAAGATGATGTTGTATTATATATGGCTTAGAATTCTGATGCTTTGGGTTAGCAATTTACATCTACTCGTAGAATAGCAATCTGCTTTTAGTTTTGCATGTTAAATATAATTTCTGTTTTCTTTTAAGACTTTGTATATACTAAATTTGTGTTTTCATAGAGTATTTAAAAAATTCAATTTCAAGACACTAATATTTACTAAAGCTAAAAAAGAAAAGTTGGTGGGGTAAGGACAAATCGGTCATTATAAGTGTAAATTAATTTTATAAATTATAATTTTGTACTGGGTGTGTTAATCACACCCAAATTGACCTAAGCATCATCATACCTGCAATATAATCATTAAACCCAGTCATATCACAATTGGCAATATAAATAAAATTTACATTTATGGTCCATCTTATATATTATTTTTAGTTCCGATCCTTTTCATTTTTTAATATATATATATATATATATATATATATATATATATATATATATATATATATATATATATATATATATATATATAATACGGTTCTGTTATTAGTCGTTCAAATTAAATATGTTGTTTAAATGGTTGAATTAGCCATTGTTTTTTTGGTTGTTTATGATAACAATAAAAAAGATAATATAACAAAGTATAATTTATTTATATTAATCATTAGATATTTTAATTGGCTGCATATGAAAATTCTTACGCGATGCATGTAGTGGAATGTATGCATTCAATCTCGTACTATACATGATTTGCTTTCGAGCAAAACGTTTAATCTATAGCTACGCCAAAGTGGCAAAATTATAGACATTAGATATTTTCCTTGTAAGTCAACCTTCACATAATGACACCATGAACGAGGGCGATAACAACATATCCATGGTGTGGAATGTCTTGCGGACCATGCCAAAGCAGAAAGCATGTTGACGAACCTAGTCTATCTAAAAAAAATGTACATTTAAACCACATTTGTTAGCCATTAGAAAACCGACATTCGACATAATCAACCGACATGGAGTTGACACAAAACCCGATCCAAAGAAATTCAACGAGCGACTTAAGTTGTAGAAATCATTCTCAAAAATCATTTTGTACATTTCGGAGTGCGCTAATAACTTGTATAAATCTGAACGAATTTGATGCCAATTATCTTGACTATATCTGAGAGAAAGAGCTATTGCCTAATATCCATAATTTTCATCTCTTTCCATGTCATCATTGTTTGACGTATTGATGAAACTCATTTGGAATTTTATTCATAAGTGGATATGTGTTTGAGTAGGGATGAGTGTAAGACAGATTCGGTACTGACCGGTACCATTCCCAATATCACAAAAACCGAATTTCATTGAAATTCAATCCTGAGTACCAAACCGAATTAACATTACCGGTACCGTTGGTACCGAATCCCAAATTTTGTGATTTTAGAGTACCAAGTATCGTCCCCATATTTTTAAATTTGGTACTACAAGATTAGGATTTGGTACAAACTGCACATCCCTAGTGTTATCTCTCTTTGGCATATACGTATCAAAACCATATGTGCTGTAACATTCAGTTCAGATGAGCAATTGTCAAGTTTAAAAATTCAAAGGTTTAACCCTACTCACGACGTGAGGTATTTTATGTCACGTCTTGAGGAGGTTAGTGCAATCATGAATCACCTTAGGGCTCACAACGTGACCACATATGGCTCACAATGTGAGACCAACCTGAGAGGAAACCCTAATTTTAGGGGGTTTTATTTTGTATTTAAAGGAAGTGAGGGTTAGGGTTAGCCCACCTCAGCCCCCATCACATCCTTGCACTCCCCTTTGAAACCTTAGCATCCATACTTGATATTGATCTTATTGATGGTGATTCTAGCCAAGGAGAAGAAGAGGAAGAGCATTTAGTTCATCATTTCTACGTTCAAGTCTCTTCATCAAGTATTCTCACACCCTATGGACCTTTTTGTGAATTTCAAGTTCATTGTTGTATGAGTCCATAAGCTTATATCTAAAAAGCAAATTTCATGGTTCAAAAAACAATTTGGGGTAATGATCTTAATCCAATTCTGGCCAAAAACTTGAAATTATGCACACAGGAGCACTAACTCGGCGAGTGCATGAACTGGACTCGTCGAGTTGGTCAGTTTCTGAGTGGACTCAGCGAGTTCACCAGTAAGAAGGCAGAAAATCGATTTTTTTCAACTTTGAAAACCAATAAGCATCATGTATAACAGAAAACAATCATAGGCTATGATATCACTGATGGGTTTTGAGCACTCTAACAACCTTATGGTGCACATGCAACCCTAAATGCTTTGGATCTATGTTTTCTCTAATTATACATGCAATTTGATTTTCCAAAGCATTGTCCTGGCTAGCATACAAATCATAGGTACTTGAATGACAAAAACTAGTTAGATGACTTACCTTTTCTTGTAGCTTGTTAACTTGGACCTTTAAGAGCTTAACACCCTAAATGTGATGCCTCAAATGCTCCACAAAACCCCACCAACAATGGAGGACTTGAGAGAGAATTACTTGCACAAAATTGGCTCTTATGAACTCCTTGAACTATTAGTGTCGATTTTAGGAGCTTAGGGGCTTCTTATATAGTGTGGTAAAGTCTAGGGTTACATCCATGTAAACACTAATGGACATGATGTAACGCCCGCATTTCCAGGCTAGGCATTATCATTGATGTAATAGTCTAAGTTAACCCTTGTAACTCTTTTTGGAGTATTAATGATGAAATATTTGAGTATTATGTGAATTATGTGTTTATTTTCTTAATTATTATAATTTAATGAATTAAGAATAAAACAAGCGTCAAATTTGAAGTGTGGGATAAGCCCGATATCTTTGCATAAAGATGTATTGGTTGAAACAATGATTCCGAATATATAAAGAATGTCGAAATCCGAGTTATAACGAAGAAATTATGACCTATCAAAGTTTCGCGACAGAACTGACAACGCTGAACGACGTAAAAAGTGAAATTTACGTTAGAGCGATATTTAGCCTTAGTGATCTAAACGAAAGTCGTAGAGTTCGTTAAACCAAGAGCGTGCATAAAAAGAACACCCAAATCTGACTGCGTATGAGGAAGTTATGATTTTTCGAAGTTTCGACTTAGTAGTATGCAGCCCGAATACTCAATTTGAGACCGGGCGGTTTTTAGCCGAAAAAATCTAAACGAGAATCAAAGATCTCGTTAATAGTAGTGAAACGATAAAAAGATAGGCAAAAACGGACGTCGGATGAAGAAGTTATGAATTTATAACGGAGTTTTCCTGTCCCGGCCTACTAAAAATAAATAATAAAAATAAAGTCAAAATTAGCCGACAGAGTCTAAACAAAATTTATAGAGCGTAGTCTCACCTACGCGGGAATATAAAGAACGTCAAAAACGGAGTTCGTATGAGGAAGATATGAATTTTTAAACTTTATTAAATATTTTCGATATTTAATTTAAATAAAAATTAACCGATATTATCCATGGGGGAAGTCAGCGAGCTGATCCACGTTACGCCTAGCGTAACATAGAATTACGCCCAACGTAATTTGGGTTTCAGCCCCCTATAAAAGGATGTCGAGGGCAGCCGATTCTTTTGCTCATTTCTTCCCTTTCTTTCGCGTTTTTGCATCGTTTTTCGTGCAAGAATTATCCTGAAGCCCCGATATCATTCCCGAACCCCGAAGCAAGTCCCGAAGCCCCAAAGATCCCGAGAAATGCGATTCCTGAGCCGAAGCTCTGCCCGCGAGGAGTCCGGTTTTTGTGAAGATCTTCCAGATCTACCGAAGAATACTACGTCTACAAGCCGTAGTGTTGTCCGATCGTCTTCTGATCGAGTGAATGTGTAGTTACTTTCTTCTAACGCATAATTATGAAGTATTTTATACGAAATACGTGTTATGTGTATATTTTGTTGTTATATGCGTGAATATATATTCACTTTCTTCTTCTCATAGATATGTTTTATTCTCTATGAAATACGTGTTATGTGTATGTGTCTCATCTGTTGTTTGAAATATGTATTGAATGAGAATGCTATATAGATTTTAAACTATGTATAAAAATATATATTTTTATCTACTAATATGTCGGGTAGAACATGGGTAGATAGTTGTGTGATAAACAGATGAGAGGCATCGATGTTGTTTTTGATTCAGTCATCTAACGGAGTTTAGATGACGGCCACACACTTTTCTAGACAACCCTGTGGAATGCTAGCAGGTTCGCCACCTGTAGGTGTTAATGAACTTGGGTGTTCATTCGTTGTACTCCATCCCCCTCATGGTTGTCTTATTTGACATATATTGTCGGGAAACCCCCGAATGCATGTGTTGTCACCCCGATGAAATATTCTAAGACTAGGTCCCTTGTGTTAGTTGTTTTAGGGACGTAAAGTGAGAATAACGAGAATGGGTAATTGGGTTTTTGTTTGTTGGTGGAATTAAATATAATTATTTATTGTGGGTTGAAAACCCTATATGCTCACCAGGCTTCCAAGCCTGACCCACTCAGTTTATTTGTATTACATGAAGTGGCGCAAGGGTATAAGATGGATGAATCATCAAGTTGTTTTGTTTACAAGTTTGTATATGTATATATTTGTTGAATGACTTGTAATGTTATCGTTTATGCTTTATGGTCTGTATCGGAACATGACATCCCGAGTTTTGATTATATAATGAAAATACATTTCTTTATGAAATGCTTCGGTAAATATTATTCTATCACATTTTGTTTTTGGGAACAAATTTCGCAACTCTTTTAAATCAAAAGGATTTACTCTGAAATTATTTTAAAAAGTATAAATGAAATCGGTCTTTTCTGGCCGAGATTTTAGGGATGTCACACATGACCTTCATATTACTTAGGATCCATGGGTTAAACCTCCATGAACTACCATATTGGTTTAGCTCATTCGAAATAACCATAGACCCACACTATAAGAATCATTTACTTACCAAATCAATCATCGTACATTTAATTAGTCTCTTTTGATCACTGAATTAATTCCAAATTAATTCATGAACAATACTAATTAAATAATATGATTTCATATTAATATATTAGAACTTATAATATATTAATAAATCATAAATAACCTCTTCTCAAAAGTCCATCCTGTTAAATTGTTCTAGTGAAATGCAACCTAAATGGACCATGCTACTCACGGGTCAAATAT